AGCAGGTTTTCTACCGGCATCCAAGCAGAATTTGTTGTTGCATTGTTTTGTGGTGGGCTTCCTTCCTCCCATGTTCCGTGATATGTGGACAGTGGCTGCTGTGCACTTGGGGAAAAGCCCTGGAGGACTTGTCTGTACCATGGGATCCAGCCCAATGTGATTGGTAGCTAAAGGTTCTGAGGGCTATTCTGCAGGACACTAAGATAAAATTGGGGGAGAGCTGATCTACATGTTTGGGGAGCACACTTGGTTGGTCAAGGGAGAGCAGTAAGTCTACTTTAGCAGGTTTCCTACCGGCTTCCAAGCAGCATTTGTTGTTGCATTGTTCTCGGATGGGCTTCCTTCCTCTCATGCTCCATGATATGTGGACAAGGGCTGCTGTGCTGTGCAAAAAGCCCTGGAGGACTTGTCTGTACCATGGGATCCAGCTCAATGTGGTTGGTAGCTGGTGGTTCTGAGGGCTATTCTGCAGGACATTAAGATGAAATTGGAGAGGAAGCTGATCCACGTGCTTAGGAGAGCACACTTGTTTGGTGAAGAGAGAGCCAGGCAGTTGTGCTGCAGTGCAGGGAGCACGCTGGTAGTAGAGAGATGTAGAGCTCATCAGCCTGTTGTTTCTCATTTAAAGGAGAACTTTGAGGGGGGGAGGGGCTTTTCACTCCCCTCATAGTTCTAGCCGACCTGTGACAATGAGACTGTCACAGGTCGGCTCAGTAGATCGGGAGGTGAGCGAACACATACCGGCGTTCGCTCACCTCTCGATCCTGTCACGGCTCTCTGCCGTGACAGAGGGGCTGGATTCCCCCCTCCCCGCTCCGGACGGGGGGAGGGGGCGGGTACAGCCTCTAGATTGGCAGAGCCAGCTGTCACTCACGCAGCTGGGCGGATCTCGCCACAATTGTCGGGATCCGCTTCAGCTGCGGCGTCTCAGTATACCGCGAGCTGTAGCTCCCTATATACTGAGCCTAGGGTGACGGGAGGACGCTAGTTTGTGTCCTCCCGTTACCCTAAGGAGAACTATAGGGGAAAGCCTTAACCCCATAGTTCCCCTTTAATGGAAAAAAAAGCAAAATACACGTTTTTGACAAGTCTTTTATTTAGAAAAAAACAAAAACATTTGATCCACCGATGTAATCCAGGGTCAATCACGGCGTCCAGCGTTGTCCACGATGACGAAGACTCGACTAAATAAAAAATAAAAAGAAGAAAAATAAATAGAAATAATAATAGAAAAATTAAAAAAACGACCCCCGCCGACCCGTCCACTCGCTCGCCGAAGGTGGCCCATTGGGGGACAATATTTGCAATCACACAGTTGACTTCCTGATGACTTCACCTTCACCTGTTGCCTCCTCTTACCTAACATGGCAGCTGATAGCAGGGTGGTCACTCCGGGAACATGGCGCTGATCTCCAGGACCTCCAATTTCCTTGCAGGTGGAGAACTTTCACATTCATAAATGGGAACGGGGCAGGGACGGTGATTGGCTGGGAAAGTTTATTCTGGCTGACCCAATTCTTCCCCCCGAGGTCAGTCATCCCAGAGATGTCACTTCCTGATCCATTCCAACCATTGTATGATGTCATATGATCCGTTTTACATGCCAGCTCTTATGAGTCAGCCGTATAATTGTTGCCTCGTGTCAAGCTTTGCGTTCTCATCATTTGCTTCACACCGAGCACACAGCTTGTTCCAGGGGTAGCCAAACTCCAGGGCCTCCAGCTGTGGGTGGAACTACAAATCCCATGAGGCATTGCAAGATTCTCACAGCCGCGACTCCCGGAGAGAGATGCATCATGGGATTTGTAGTTTCACCACAGCTGGAGGGCCGGAGTTTGGTCTACCCCCTGGCTTATTCTGTCATGTTGCTGTAAGCACACATGTGCGTCTCCTGATCTTGGTCTCCATTGACGCTCCTCGAAAAAGACAATGCCCTTGGATATGTTCCTCAAGACCCAGGAGAACTTAGTGCAGGGCCATGGTGCCATGTAACACTTGGTAGATGACCAAACCCCAAGGTGATGAGTCAGATTCAAATATGGACAAGTGAAGATGAAATGTAATCTGCTTATATGTTTCCTTCCCCGGTTCCTCCCCTCCCCCTTCCCTCATTAACATGCCAATGAAATTACTAAATAAGATCTTTCCATTTTCTTGTAGCACTTTTTGTACCGATCTTCGATAGTTTCACATGAATATTGATCTTCGGCTTC